CTACCCTCCCCACCCCCCACCCCCGCTGAACGTGGGTCTCCTGTCCCTGGTGCCCGGCAGTAAACAACCTGAGAGTGTCGGGGGACCTAAGGTGGATCCAGCTCCCACCATGATCAGAAGCACCCATGCTAGTTGAAGGAGACCCAGGAGTTTGGGTGGGGAGCTAACAACAATGCCCGTAACCTCCCATGTTCTCAGAAGTCAGCGTAGTGTGCTAAGCCACGTGTGGGCACTTCATAAACAGACTCCCTCAACGCACAAACATCAGTGTAAAGTGAGCCACTCTGGCTCTGGGGATCTTGCAGGGACCCAGTCACACAAACAGTCAATGGTAGGTAGAGGAGACCTGAGAAACGCACTCAGACTGTGGTCCTAGTTCTTGAAAGACGAGACTGGCTAAGTCCTTGCAAAGCTGCTCTCCGACAGCAGGGGGCGCCAATACCTGATAAACCGTGCCAGTGCAGAGGAAGCTGCCAAAGAAATAGCCAGGAAATGATACCTTGGAAAGAACTGGAAAACAAACCGGCTGGCGATGCAGGCAGCACAGGCCCAGGTTTAGTGGATGTTGCAGCCCAGACTGCTGACCCCTGAGTTAAGCAAATGTCCCCCGGGGAAATCCAGGCTGGCCTTAGGGTGACGCTGGTCGCTAGTCCTCTCCCACTCCGGACAGCCACACCTCACAACCGCAATCTGTTTCCTCCTTCTTTCACGGGTAGCTGAGCTCACTCAGGTCAGGGCCACCCCAAGCTCAGAAGAGGCAAAACCCCCAGGGAAGAAGTGAAAAGACTTCTTCCAGCTCAGCCTGGAATATCAGCTTGCTGATATTCAAATCCCTCACATTTAAATCCCAGGCAGCCCTTTCTGCTGTTACTGCAGTAGGTGGGAGTCTTCTACCTGGAACTGAAAGTCCAGGCTCTCTCTCTGTGCGGCCACTTCCTCCTTTGTGAAAGGGATATAAATATAAATGCATTCGATGACAAATAAAAAGCCTGGGGCACGAGAGGCAGGCCTCGGGAAGGACGCGCAAGGGAGAGAGGCCAGGGGAACCCCACGAGCACACTGGCATTGAAGCTCATGTCCTGGATTCAGTCTTGTAAGCTGTGTGGCCTTGAACGTGTTGCTTAGCCATTCCTAGCCTCAGTTTCCGCTTTGTCAAATGAGGAGTGGGAGGATGAAATGGGATGACATCATACCCGAGTTTGGCTTTTAGCAGCTCCTTCATGGTGACAAGTGCCATACCATATCCCCTCGCCACATTAAATAATAGATTACTGCACTCCAGTAATTGAGAGTGCCCACAACCGTCAGGCATTGTAATGAATCTCAAAAGTCATAAAATGTTGATAAATATAGTTTAGATTTCATGCTCACTTAGCAACTTTCTTATTGCTCTTGGCATTTTTACCAGAACTGGGTAATAGTCAGCGGGACACATTTCGCTACCCTTTCAAATATGAAGAAACTAATATTCCAGGACTGTAAATAAATTAACCGAAGTCCACCCACCTAGCTATCTACTCAGAAAGAAAAAAAAAAACAGAAAACAAATGATTCTTCATAACTCCAGTTCCTACCTTCAAGGACATAATGATGCTATCATGAGATGGGTCTCCGTAGGAGGTTACAACCAACTCAGAAAGGATGGAATCGAAAGGGGGCAGAAAGCATGTTAGTTGGAACTATAATTGCATGTCTGATCAAGCCGTCTACTTCACTGCCCACTCCGGATAAAAGCCCTCAGGAGAACAGAGGCAGCAGAGAACTCGTCATGAGAGAAGGAGCCAGGTGAGACATAAGTTTTCAAATGCATTTATTCCAGAACACGTTGTGTGCGTGACAGGTGCTATGTCAGAATACAGTCACAGAGAAAACACATGGATACACTTCTGAGGAGCTTGTCAGCCAGCAAGGCGGACAAGCAAGGATCAGATAATCACACAGAGGTATACACAGTCATCCTCCGGTATCCACGGGGCACTGGCTCCAGGATCCCTGCAGTCAACGAGTCTGCGGGTACTCAAGTCTCACCTGTAGTGCGGCATGGCATTTCCATAACCGCACACCTCCTCCCAGACGCTCCAAATCATCTTGAGATTGGTTGCTTTACCTAATGTACTGTGAGTGCTGTAGAGATTTGGGGGGGGGGGGGGGGCTGGGAATAATGGCAGAGAAAGAAAGTACGTCTGTGTTCAATCCTGTCACAGGCTGTTGTTCAAATGCTTTTGATCCATTGCTGATTGGATGCGTGGGCGTGAAAACAGCGCACACAGGAGGCTGACTACAATCACAAGCTGAGATTCGTGCTATGATAGAGACATGTCAGGTGTATACCAGGAGAGCTTCTAACCCACGGAACCCGGCCTGCAGGTGGGAAGGACGCTTGAGGGCCACTCAAGGAACCCTGCGGGCACAAGGGAGCATGCGCAAAAAAAACCCAGCTGTAAGCGCTCCATGCTCAAGTGAAGAGGGCAAGAAGTCTTGGGAGATGACACAGGAAAAGGGTAATGGGGAGGCAGCTAGTGACGGGACCAGTCTGGACCTTGTAGGCTATGGTTGGATTTGGGGTTTCTGTCAAAATTCATATGCAGGTTGAGTGGTGGTGGCACAAACCTTTAATCCCAACACTTGAGAGGCAGAGGCAGGAGGATCTCTGTGAGTTCGAGGCCAGCCTGGTCTGCAAGAGCTAGTTCCAGGACAGCCTCCAAAGCTACAGAGAAACACTGTTTTGAAGAAAAAAAAAAAAACAAAACTTACTCATCAGGAGTTTGAGGTATGGCTCTGCGGTAGAACGCTTACTTGTCTAGCATGCATATCACTCCAATTTCTCTCCTCAGCACCACACGGTAAAGAGTGCCCATCAAGTGTCTTCCACAGGTTCTAAAGAAACATCTATAGGGTCATTAGGTTCAAGCTAGAGGTTCCGGGGGTCTTACTGAGCAAGTGATCTATTTCTGGCCACAATTTGTCAAGGGGACAGGACATCTGGAAGGTTGAGAGAGAAGTAGAGAAAGAAGCTTCCAGATGGCACCTTAAATGAGGCCACACATCATAAAAGCTCTCCCCCAGGCTTTGTTCTCTGACTCATCTGTAGCTTTCGAAGAGAGAGCAATCACATGAAATATCTGAGCCGCCAAACATGGGAAAAAATGACAGGAGAAAGCGGCAAAGAATCCTACCAAGTCATCAAAGTTACTGCTACGCTCATCCACCGAGGATGAAGGCTGGCCCGCAAGTGCTCCCTTCTTTAGGGAGAATACAGAAGCTGTCTCTGCTGACTGTAGATGAGATTGTGTGGAACAACACGCCAAGGAAACTCAATTGTGGGGTCTCCAAATGTGCCCAGAGGAAGGTGGTGCCCCAGTTGAGCCAGAACCACATCCCTTCAGAAGATCTACCCGTTAGGATGGCACAGCAATTTCCTTCCTGAATTGGCAAGCTTTGCCCAAAATGTGCTAATTCAACATGTAGTTCTCACAAGACGAACATTTTAATGTGGATTGCAATATCTTAAGAAATCCACAATGTCTCAAAGAAAGTAGACATTGCGAAAGCTCTGAAGATAAAAGTGGTGCAAGAGGTGGGCATTACTGTGAAACAGAGCACCTCCATTGCGGCCTGGGAGACACATTCCCTAAAGTCCAGTTCCCGTGTCTTTGCGCAGGTCGGAGACTCCACCTTAACAGTTCCTGGAAAACATCCTTCTGTTCTCATGGAGACTTCCTTGGCTGCATTTAAATGAAAGCTTTTTGGTGCAGTAAGAATGTTTGATTTTAAAGATAGATGAAGCTGTGATAGGTAATGTGTCAAATGTTCAAAACATCACTGCCAAAATCTAGAGATGCCTGCTTTCCAGCACGCCTGTCATTTCCAAACACTCCACACCCATGCGAAGCGAGCTGATGAATTTACAACGAGAACCTAGCGAATGTGGGACATAGAGATGGCTCTGTGGGACAGAGGGCCTGCCGTGCAAGCATGAGGACTCGAGTTCGAGGCTCCGGAATCCACGTGAAAAGCCAGGCACGCTCACACATGCCTGTAACGCCAGCGCCGTCAGCCAGGGTGGGCAGAGATAGGAAGATCACTCGGTTTGCTGGCTGCCAGCCTAGCTCCAAAGTCAGTGAGAAACCCTGTCTCGGATGATAAAAGTCAGGGTGATAAAATGAAGTGTGTTGAGCAGGACTCCAGACAGCCTCCTCTGGTCTCGATGTGAGGGTGCATGAACCTATACCTCTCTCTCTCTCTCTCTCTCTCTCTCTCTCTCTCTCTCTCTCTCACACACACACACACACACACACACACACACACATATCTAAAGGGAGAAGAGCTGAGTGTACGTTAAAAACAAGTGAAGAAAAGGCTGAACTGACTCCTTAAAATGAACCTCCCACCCTCCCTCCCTGCTGATGGCTTCTGTCATATCTGTGTGCCATCTCTATGGCTGGTTCCTGACTACTGATGGACCAGTTATCTTAACTTTTTAACTTTGCCTCATCAAAAGCAATATTATTGTTATTGTCCAAATATTCCCCATGCATGTTATCGTGAAGAGCTAACTAATAAACTGTGACCTGACCTCCACGAACTGACAGACCTTCTCGTCTGCACTCGTGTCTTCAGGGTGAGGTTCCAGTACCCCCGGTATAGAAATCAACAGATGGGGGACTGAGAAGATGACTCAGGGGTTCAGAGGACCAAGGCTCCATTCCCAGCACCCGCATGGCAGCTCACAATCATCTGTAACTCAAGTTCCAGGGGATTCAAACCTTCTTCTAATCTCTGAGGGCACCAGGCATGCATGCAGTGCGCTAGCATACATGTAGATAAAATAGTCATTAACATGGAATAAAAATAACTCTTAAAAACATCTGCAGGTCCCTAATAAAATTGTATTTGCATATAATCATATGCTTTAAGTCATTCTCAGATTACATATAATACCCAGTGCAATGTCAGCACTCTGTAAGTAGTTGTTATAGCATTTAGGGAAGGACAAGAAAGAAACCTTTACTTATTAAATACAGATGTACCTTTATTCTCAATTGAATGAATTTACAGATCGGAAGGCTGAATATTCCCATCTGTGGCCAGTGGAGTGGGACCGTGGTCAGTGGCTCAGGCCCTACCACAGTCCATCCCCACTGTGGCGGCCTTAGCCCCAAACACGTGGCTGCCACATCATAAAACAAAGGAAAGGGTTCGTGTAGACGTAGCCAGTATTTTCATGCTGCCGGTGAGTTTCCGTGCTCTGTTTGGCCTGTTACCTCCTGCAGTATTCTCTGTGCCTTATACCAACCCCAAGATGAAACTCTTCTTCTGAATCCCCAGAGAAAACGCCACTGCCTGGAGGTGTGGGGGCTAGCCTGCGACGCTGCGTGTCTCAGCGCGTGTTTGGTAACTCATGTCAGGCATTTCGTTTCTTGAGTTTCTGGGCTAGCCTTGTGCATCCTGTTTCTTACGTTTCTGGGTTAGCCTTGAGACTCACAAGCCATACTTGATTCTTGAGCCCTAGGCTGCCACCTTGCAATTAGGGTTTTGTTGTCTATCTCTCTGTTCTCTGAGATTGAGAAAACAGCCGACTGCTGTCTGTTTGGATTCCCCCTTTCGTCAAACGTTTCCTAAGGCTTTTACTCTCTTTAAAATGGAGTTCCTTGCCTTTAATTTCTGTGCAAGAATTCTTCAAATATTCTGGAGATAGTTTTCCCTTCCTATCCAGTGCAGACTCCGGGATCCCACAACCTCCTGCAAATGCCCCGCTCCACAAATACCCGAGTGCCTATGGGAAATGGCTTATTTGCATACAATCTGCATACATCTTCCCACATCGTTGAAATCATCTCAAGATTATTTATACAACCAAACACAGATAGACACTACACAGCGCGTTGCCATGTCGTGGTCTCAAAGGCCGGCACGAGACATCTATATCTGTGCAGTACAGACACCATTTTTATAAAAAAAAATATGTTTGATCTACATTTGGTTACAGCACCAGATGCAGACCCCACAGACACTACTTTCTGCTTTTTATTTTTGTCTGGTTGGGGGCTTTTCGGGGATATCATCACCATTAGTTGAGTAATTATAGACACCCCCTTCCCGCCTGTGATTAGAAGCTTCACTTTCTTAGTGTCTTACGTGCATAAAGGCTCACCACCTTAGCACAGCTCTTAGGGCGTGTGGACAGTCTGCCGTGAGCTTACAGAACCCATTTTCTTATCTAATCACTTCTCAGGCTTTCGGCCAAGAGAAATTAAGAAGTTATCCAGACATCTTCCTGTATGACATTCAGTAAGTCAGTTATCACCAACCAACAGCTCCACCCAAAAATCAGTGACTGAAAACAAAACCTCTTCTCACTCATGAGCTCCGGCCAACATCTGCAGGTTAGTTCACCTAAGCCTGGCTAGGTTCTGGGGGCGGGGGTGGCTGTGTTTGGCTGGGGGAGTCACCCGGAAGCTGTGCTCCCAGTGTGTCTCAAGTCTCCAGACTTTCAGTCTAGAGCTTGTACCATGGGGTCTCCCGGTGCTCAGGCCACTGGACCTAAAAAAGATCTACGTATCATGCTCTCCCGGCTCGGCACGTCAGCCAAGATCTTGAATCTCTTATAACCACGTGATCCGGTTCTCCACAGTGGATTTCCTGCATAAAGACACAATGCCTTGCACACACAGGCATTCTTAGACACTGATAATCTTAGTCTTGGTCTTTGAGGCTAAAATTGAAACTTATACACAAGAAGAAAATCATACTACAATTATTCTGTATTCTTAGTCCATATAGCTTTTTGATTTATTTAATGAAGAGAGGACGCGTGGAGGTCAAAGGACTACTCGTGGGAGTCATTTCTCCCTTCCCACCACGTGGGTCCTGGGGATCAAACTGGGGTAATCCGGTTTGGCAGCAAGTGCCTTTGCTCAAAGAGCTGTCTCGCTGGCCCATATTCTGACATTTTTAAAGGTGTTTTTTTAATCCATATGATTCCAATGGGAATCCCTACAAGGCAAAATAAATATTTAGATTTAGTACTCAGACCTGAGTGCATTCTGTTCCTCCCCTCTCTGCCCTTGCAAAAGTGAAAGTAAAGTAGGCCGTTGTTCCCTCACAGTCTGTCTGTCTGTCTGTCTGTCTGTCCAAGCCTTCCAGATCATTCTGCTTCTGTGTCTCTTTCTCCTGAGTCTTTGCCCCGCCTCTTGGCCCACCTGTCCCCCTTCACATATAAACAATCCTTTCTCTCAGCAGCAAATACCAGAAGCTTTTAAAAAAAAATGGCAAAAGGAAGCCTGAATACCGCTGGAAAAAGATTGCAAAGAAGAGCCCAGCAACCGGTGACCATAGTGACGCCGTGTAATCAGCAAACCCAGGCCCTTGCTTTCCTTCCTCCTCTGGGCATCCATAAAATGGTTGGTTTAGAAACCCCAAGCCCACAGACTGTTTTCCAGCAACATAGCAACCGCCGGCAAACTGGGCAGTCAAAACTACCCGTGACCTGATTATCAAAACCAGAGTTATGACAGCAGGCTACCCGGCTGCCTTGCTTAGCAGGAGGGTACACTGGCCACCTGAGGTATCTCCTCTGTTAAATCCAAATACATCAGCACTTCACACACACACATATACATACACACACACATACACACACCTCACACACACACATATACATACACACACACATACACACACCTCACACACACACATA